TCACCACTCGTTTCAGGGAATCCCGCTATCTGGATATCATTAGCGAGTAAGTCTTGGTCACGTTCCAATATTTGTGACTTCAACTGTGACTCTGTCTCTTCCAAAGTCGAAACTTCACAGCGTTGTAAGCCTTTTGACTTGTCTTCTAAGGCTGATATTCTGGTTCTGGTAGACGAGACTTTTGCAATTTTACCATCAGACAAAGTAATTGCATTTTTAAAATATCTTAACTCCATAAACTCTAAAATTCAATTTACTATGGCATTAGAGGCAAATAATTCCTTACTTTTCCTAGATGTGTTAGTCATCCGAAATGCTAGCAACACCATAGGTCACACTGTGTATAGAAAAAAGACCCATACAAAACGATACTTAAACAGTGAATTTCACCATCTTCCTTCACAGTTAGCGACCGTTGGCAAATCTTTTCTACAAAGAGCACATCTGTAACAGCAAATAACTTGTCGTCGAGATTCAGTACGTCAAGCAATTTCTGCAATACAACAAGCTTTGGGTCCCGCGCCTACGTCACAGTAGATAGGTAGTACCACTCCTGGCTCACTGAGTCAGAAGTAGTAAAATGGTCGTCGACTCACGATCCTATAAAAGGAAGGTTTTGGCATGCCGGTGAGGGCCTCCACCGTCATTAGTGCCCCATTGTTCTTATCTATTTATCTATTGTTCATTGAATACCGTCATTGTCTATTTTTCCTCGGCGTATGCATCGGCTTATCAGTGCTATTGTATTATACTTCTTTGTTCCTATCTACAACGCTAATCCGAATATCAGCCTAACTAAAATATGCCTACTAAATTTATTGTTTTATTGCCGTTCGTAAATTAGGATGGATATGATTTTAAATTCGATAGATTTTAATAAATTAATTTATTTAATTCAAAAATTATATACTGTTTCTATTTTTTGTAATATAATCAGTGCCATAGGCTTCTACTCCGTTCACATGTTATACCCTATATTTGTTCCAGACGGTGAAAAAGGTCACCGGTATATAAAATATGTATGACTGAAAATAATAAAGTAATTATTAGTTCTTTTGTTGCATATAATGTATGTTTGAGTTTTAATATCTTCTTTGTTTAAATTAATGGTCTCAATTTTGCTATACTTATAAGATTTTTTGTGTATATTTTTATTTAATAACGATAATCAAACCTTATCACGTTAGTAGTTATTCCTTGTTTTTCAAAAGAAACAATGATGACGATGATCAATTATCTATTTTGGTTTATTTACAGATTTTAAGTTTAAATAGCATACAGATTTAATATAGATTTTGGCAGTTTCTAATACAGATAAAAGTAGTGCCAGTCGTCCGCAGCATAGATAGATTACTCAATATAGTCCGCAGCGCGGCGTAGCGTATATGGAATCTATACCTTCACGCAACGTTCATGACGTCAGAGACCGTGTTGCCGTTGGGTATATTTTTAAATCCAGAAAGCGAAAATCTTTTCATTAGAGCGTACCTTTACCTAACATTTGTGACGTCACTGGTGCGTGTTGAAATCGGGTATAAGTACATTTAGGCTTAGGTCACGCCGCGGCGTAGAGAGTACTCGTCTACAACTTAACGCACGACCGCTGTTGTCGTATAAACATAACAATATACGAGCTTAGGGTTCGTGACTGAATTACCAAAATTGACACGTTTTTTACTGAACACCAATCAAAACTTATATCACACTAATAATTATTCTCACTTAACACTTTATTTCACTCCGAAAGCTTCGCTCCTATTTCTGCTGCTTGATACCAGATGGCTGATAATCAGCCGCAACAATATATTTAAAATATATATTGATAACCGTGGTATGCCATTGAGAGGTAGTGAAAAATTAGGCAACCAAACCGGTTTGGGTGCCTTCGTTAGTCCTAGTATCGACTCTGAGCTAGTAGCAAGTAATAAACATGTAAATGTAGGTACAAAGCTACAAAGTATGTTTATTTGAAACTGATAAAAAATTTGCTAGTTGTAGTGAACATTTATTTTTTCCTTAAAGTGGGACACCTTTAAAATTATTATAGTTTTAACACTTTTTATTGCCTTCTTGGTCTAACGGTTGTAAACGCAATTGCTGATCATGTGCGTCGTCGGTTTACCCGAAAGGCGGAAAAAAAGAAAAAAACAAAAGAGCCGCAGTTATTTGTCAAGCGGGACATTTTTACGTATTTTAGGGACCGTAGGACACAAACCTTTAAATCGGGACCGTCCCGCCTAAAGTGGGACGTATGGTCACGTTAGATATGAGTGAACTATATACTTTGACAAATGACGGCTCTGTGGCGCACTGGCTTGGCAATGAGTGGCTTCGCTGAGGGCAGCGTGTTCGAATTCCGCACGGAACATGTATTTGTATGGCCTTCAAATAATTGCTTCGGGTCCGGATGTTAGTCCTTGAGCAATTTGTGTTTGTAAACAGCCTCCACGATACGGGAAAAAATGTGGGGTAAAATGTTAACGCTATAAAAAATGCTGGTAAAATTTGATTTACGCATAAGGCGCAAGTTTATACATGGTTTGAAAATAAAATAAAATTCACTGACGTCACATACCAATCACTAAACAATAAAAAAGGAAGAAAACCGTTGTAAAAAGTGTAACTGCACGAGCAATATGCAATCGAGTATTGTCCTCGTCAAAAAAAATTATATACTACTTTTCATGGTTTTATTTTGTTAGATTATTTGAGATTTGTAAGTAGCATTCGTTGTCTGAATTATTATGAGGTCTTTATGATGGTTATCACGATTTAACCACATTTAGTTACGTTAACTAGTGGATGGACGTTGACCTGTAAAGTTAAATAAAGTTAGGCAAGCAAACTGTTCCATCCCCGCCTGTAGGTAATCATTGAAGTCATATTCACGCAATATTTGTCTTGTCACGACTATGGTTCATGGCTATAATGGGTTCTGATAGTAGGTTCAGCTGAGTGGTGCTGTTGTACTCTTCTTCTTCTTTAAGTGCCTCCCCATTATTGAAGGTCGGCAGTCATCCTCCTAAATTCTTCTTTGTTCTGGGCTAGCCTGAACAGATCTTCTACACTAGTTAAGTTTTAATATACTCTATGTATATGGAACAAAATGACCCATATTCACTAACAAATTATGTTAAGTACAAAAAAGAAAACTCACATAGTCTGGATCCGATATGTGGTCGAGCTATTAAAAAAAATATTCAATCTCTACTAAATAGTCACAAAAAATTTTAAGCTCCGATTTAACATTTGCTTGTCATGTTAGCAAAACATATACGTGAAAGAAACTAGAAGGAGTTTCAGTTTGGCATCATATGTTTTACTTATGTGTTTGACCACAATTCAACCGGATGGTAAGTGGTGATGTAGCCTGATGGTAAATGGCACTGTGTGAGCATAATGAAAGCCTATATTCACTGTTTCCTTGAAGACCCCGGTTTGTATTCGGAAGAAAAGACAAACGTTGTCAAATTATTCCACCACTTTGCTGTTCGCTCTACCAAAGACGAAGCAAATTGTGGTGGAGCCACGCTGCAGCTGCATTATGATTGCAGCAAAAGTAGTTCGGCTCGACCTGGCAGGCACACGCTCGCACAGAATCATGCCTCAATCACAGCATGTAAAAAGTCCACAGTGGAACGTAGGTCTTGCTCATTGATTGGCTCATAGTTTTGACATATCTGTCACGAGTGTTATGTGGTTTAACCGCAGTTTTTTTTTTTAATTTCGATTATATATAAGAGTATAGACTTTTGTCTAGCAATGCGTTTGTCAAGCGTGACCTCCTAACTGTAACGTATTAGAGGTTAGTTGCTATGTGATTATTGTTAAGGTGGCGGGTAGGTTAGTTTCTTGGTAATAAATCAGTCTGTTGCCTACATACACCTTTGATTGACACTCCATTGGCGACGAGTACGGGATTATTCTTAGAGTTTTTTTTCTTACGCAATCGCTTAAAAGTTGTGCAAAAATGCCGATAGGAAAAATAGAGCCATTTAGTTCAAGTTCGAAACAATGGCCCGCGTATATTCGTGTAAACCAGTACATTATGCTAAATGAAATTAGTGAATTGTTGAAAGTACCGATGTTGATAACAGTTGTGCATTGATAACATCTCGCGGCTACGTGCCCTTTCGGAAAGTGCAACACGTGTTCCACGCTCGACGAAAACCTGCGCGACCAATTCGTGTCAGGTCTGGTGAATGATGCGATGCGATCTAGGGTTTCCGCCGAAAAGAAAATTCGATATAAGGAGGCAGTGGAACTCGCTCTGGCATTAGAGGCTGCCGAGAAACATGTCGAAGTGAGCGGCTCCACCGAGGCGGCAGCGACAGACTCGAACTCGTGTGCGGCAGCGGGCGAGGCGGGCGAGGGCCTGCACTACGCGCGCCTCGTGTGCGGCAGCGGGCGAGGCGGGCGAGGGCCTGCACTACGCGCGCCTCGTGTGCGGCAGCGGGCGAGGGCCTGCACTACGCGCGCCTTGTGTGCGTCAGCGGGCGAGGCGGGCGAGGGCCTGCACTACGCGCGCCTCGTGTGCGGCAGCGGGCAAGGCGAGCGAGGGCCTGCACTACGCGCGCCTCGTGTGCGGCAGCGGGCGAGGCGGGCGAGGGCCTGCACTACGCGCGCGGCGGCACCGGCGATGGCGGCGGTGGCAGCCGGCGAGCCGGCCGGCAGAGCGCCCGGCTCAGCGGGCACGGCATCGGGCGGTCGCTCGTGTTGCCGCAGCGGCAAGACGCATGGCGCAGGCAGGTGCCGGTTCAAACACTACAACTGTGACGAGTGCCGTCAAAGAGGGCATATTAAAGTGATGTGTAAACAAGTGCGCGGTAGTGGCGGCCGGCATAATTATGTGAGTGACGAATCGGACGACGGTTTGTACAACATTGAAGTGGTAGCTCGAGGTAACAAACTCTACTGTATTAACTTGTTAATTAATAACAATATTGTCGAATGTGAAATGGACACCGGTAGTCGCATTTCTGCTATTAGCGAAGACACGTATGGTATGTATCGTATGTTTTCTTATAGAAACATTAAAAATGATAATTTAATTTTACGCGGCTATTCAGGTTCCCAAATCGAGTCTCTCGGTTACATTGAGGTAGAAGTTTGCTTAGGCAATACGAAAGAAAAATCATTACGTCTGTATATCATTAAAAACGGGGCACCCTTGTTAGGTAGAGATTGGATGCGCGCTTTAAAAATTACCTAAATTAACCTCAATGCAATTATAGATGATGGATTTGTGAACCAATTATGTAAAGAGTTTCCGGAAGTTTTTTGTGACAAATTAAGCACATGCAGGCAGACCATTCGATTACAGAAAAAAAAACAATGAACCAGTTTATGTGCGAGCGGTACTGGCACTACGCGTACGGGTAGAAAAGGAGTTAACACGCCTCGAGGCGGACGGTTCTATCTGTCGATTATTCTGATTACGGCACCCCAATAGTCCCCGTGGTAAAAAGAAATGGCGATATACGCATTTGTGATGATTATAAGATCACAATTAGCCCTAAGTTAAAAAGAGACTATTATCCACTACCGCGCGTTGAGGAATTATTCGCAAATCTTAGGGGAGGAGAAAAGTTCACATAAATAGATTTAAGGCACGCGTCGTACGAGCAGTGCATTCGCTCAGTTCACGAAGTCACTCAAATGTGCGAGTCCAGAGATATACGCCACACTAGACCAAACTTCCCACTAGTCTAGCATGCACTAATAAAGTTACAAGCTTAGAACTAGTTGTCCACCTAGACGTCAATCCCAGAACAACATGGTCAACGCACGCACACACATGACTTGCTGTCCGTTTGAAAAATAAATTGTAAAGTCTAGTATATCTGTTTGTATAATATGTGTGTCTAGGCAATTTGTGGTGAGTTTCATATGAAGTCGTATATTTAGTAAGTTGATATTTTATGTTGAAATGACCCGCAATATCGTAAAATAGATAATATTACCCTTGTTTACGTATTCACTTATCGTTATAACCCTAAATCTCGTAATTGTATTGAAGTGGGGCATTTTGGAAAACGAATTTTAAAATATGCCTGTCTGCCAGTCGTTAAAAATGCCTCATTAGTTTAATTCAGTAAATGTTAAAAGTGTTATGATTTATTGCAGATAATGTCTCCAAAATACATATCTGAGAATAACATTCCGAGCGTCATGGAGTGGAGATGAGTTGGATAGTTTATTAGTACTATTTATTCAGAAAAAGAAATTGGGTAATAGGGCATTCAGAAAATTTGAATACCGTCTCGAACGCTGAGGAGTCTCATTTTATTAGTAAAGTCAAAAGTAACTCTTGGGCGTAAACCAGTTTTATCAGTGGAGTATGAAAAAAATAGGTTGCCCTATAATAAGGGTGACCAAACGAGCACACAGCCCACCTGATGGTAAGTGGTTGCTGTGGCCGTGAATTCTCAGATGGAATGCCTCGTTTCCAGTATATAGGGTCTCCGGTTCTCACCATACGAAAGACAGCACAGCATTATGCTGCTACTTACCACAATATAGCTACAACAAACTCTGTCACCTGCTCTCTTACCCTTATTTTTAAAAACGTATGTAAAGTGTAACAAAAAAGATAAATTATTTAATTGCAGGCTCCAATACCGATAGAAGCATGGGAGGATACTTTGGACGCGACGCAACAGAGCCCCGTCTGCGTGCAGAGGAATCCATACACGCGCCAGAAGGAGATCGTCGGACAAGAAGACTGTTTATACCTTAATATCTACACGCCCGTTAAAATTAACGTAAGTACCTTCTTTTTAACCTACTTTGGAAAAACTAAGAGGTTTTGAGTCGTTGGAATTTTCACCCTGTGCAATTTAACGATAGTCATGTTGCCAAGAAGTTCATGAAATTGGCTTTCCATCATTAGCAAAAGGTATAAATATGAATTTGGATCTTCTGCTAATTCTATCAATAAGATGCTTGAGGCTCCTTTAGTTAAACTTCTCGAAATCCACGGGCACACCCAACAACACCGAGATTTTCTTTTTTTTTAATTATTTAATTCGTTTATTAAGTAGTCTCAGATTAGCGAAATTCCCGCACGCACGAGTTGGCCCAGCATCGCTTTGCGCTGCGAATTTTGAATGTCATAATATGTACATGGAGTATAGAGGCAAGGAGGACAATCTCCCATAGGAGAATAATTGAAAATGTGTCCATCTGTAAGCAGTAAATAACAGTTCAAAAACTCTCCTCAACAGCGCTCGAGTATGAAAATACGTTGAGAGTGTTTTTGAAAATAAAAATTTTGAAAGTAATAAAATAATTATTGTAAAAAGAATTATGGTGAGTGTGCAATAAAAAAATTATAAAAAGTTCTTTTATCGCAGTTCTTTAAAATTTCGACTGTAGCTACAGTGGCGCCACCCCTATTTAACGCTTTCCTAGGGACACTTTTTTATACCAGTCTGTACTTCTTACCTCTACACTCCCTAGATATGTACTTGTATATTGGTAAAGTCGTTCAATGTGCAATTTTCAATGTTTTTCAATGGAATTGTCTCAATTTGGTTGATCAGTGTAATATCTATCGCCTTTAGGCAAAAACGTTGCTGCCCATAAATCACATTGAATTTGGGGTATATTCAAAGAGTAGCGTTATTTACCCGTATTTTCAAAAAAAAAAAAATAACAGTAGATCATTATTTATATTTTTTTCATAGAAGAGGGGGCTAACGAGCTGACGCTCACCTGATAGTAAGCGACTACTGGCGCCCATGAACAACTGCAACACCAGGGGAATGAAGGTGCAACCGTTGCCGGATTTTTAGAAAAGAAGCTATTTATTTGAAGGTCCCTAAGTCGTGTCGGTCCGGAATAATCGACGTCGAGAGATTGTACGAAGAAGGAAACTCTTGATAAAACGCACAGTATTGGACTGCCAAGCATCGAGATAGTATGGATGGTATCGTGATTTTTACGCGAAGTGCGTTCGTGAAATTTGGCGGCTGGAATTGATCCGAATAATTATTCAAAGTGCTCCCTGTGGCAGGTGCGATAGAAAATTCAAAGGGATGCAACGTCCCTTCGCAACGCCAGGTAATCGAGCCGATCAGAAAGAACTCGGTGGTCAACAATTCGAGTCACTCTGCGCTGGATGCGATCAAGTGAAAGGAACTGGCACTGGGGTGCCCGGGCCCAGTGATGAATACAGTATTCCTTGTGATACTGAATGATGTGAGGCCATACGACAAAGGGGTTCTCTTTAGCGGTAAACGCGCAAATTTGTGTTTTCTTGGAATTGAACTGGACTAGCCCCAATCCGATACTTTATTTAACAAATTCTCGACTTCAGACACAAGTTTGTCCCGGTACTCAGCAACGTTTTCCCGAGAAATACTGCTTCGACACGGCTTGTTCGATGCTTCTATCGTCAAGTAAAATGGAGATCAAATTAAACAACTTCTCAGCTTCGAAAGAAGTTCTTTGTACCAAACCCGATCGAAGGTCTTCGCTATGTCCAAACTAACGGCCAAAGCCTCTCCATTGGACTCTACTGCCTCCGCCCATCTATGAGTCAGGTAGTCTAGAAGAACACATGCTGATTGACTCCGACGAAAACTGTATTGACGGCCTCTAGCTATCAGCTGGTGATCCTCAAGGTACCTCATGAACTGGCAGTTTATAATGTTAAATATTATTTTTAAGTGGTAGAGCCATGATGCAATTATATTAGTAATATAGTTGTAGCACGAATGGGTCGGCTCGACCGGGGAGGGACCACGCTCTCACAGAATATCAGCGTCAAATAGTAGCTTAATGCTACTGTGTTTCGTATGGTGAGCGTAAAGAATCGGAGACCCTTTTTACTGCAAATGAAGTATTCCACCTCAAGTCCTCACGGGTGACAACTCATCTGCATTTTGATTCGTAATCGATGCTAGATGTAGATGTCTATGGGCCACAGCAACCACTTACCATCAGGTGAACTGTGTGCTCGTTTGTCACCCTATCCTATAAAAAAATTAATTTTTTATAGAAGAGGGGGCAAACGAGCATGCGGCTCACCTGATGTTAAGTGACTACCGCCGCCCATGATCAACCGCAACACCAGGGAAATTGCAGGTGCGTTGTCGGCCCTTTAGAAAGGAGTACGCTCTTTTCTTGAAGGTGCCTAGGTCGTATCGGTCCGGGAAAATCGCCGGTGGTAAACTATTCCACAGAGAGGTCGTACGTGGAAGAAAACTCCTTGTAAAATTCTGGGATTCCATTATTGTGAAGAACAAGGAGATGATAGCGATAGGCCTGTAGTTGGATGTGTCTGAGCGGTCGTCTACGTGACCGTAGCTGTTTTCCATGAATTTGGGACTACGCTTTGTGGGTAGGAGTACCGGAAAAGACGCGTTAAAACCGGTGTCTACACTAGCACACGATTTCATCACAATCGGAGGGACTCCATCAAGTCCAGGGAGAGGAGTTTTTTGCGAACCGAGCCCTCTGTAAACTGCACATCCAGCATTGAGGGGTCACACCACGGCATAGTCGGCGGTGTGTTCCTCCGTTATTTAGAGTTGGACGCAAAGAGAGAGCCTAATTACAGATAAGCTTTCTCGTTTGCGACACGAGATGAAAGAGATGGCTGACAGCAGTTCCCTTGGACAGCCTTGGCAAGAGACCAGAATGCACGGGTTCCCGAAGGAAGATGAACTAGCTTTTCTGCCAATCCTGCCGATGTGCTCTGAACTTGCCTTAGCAACGATTCTTTAGGAAGGACTTGGAGGAAGAATCATACGTCTTTTTATGAGCACTGGTGTTTACGTTGTAGACAGAAGACGTAATAAAAGTTCAATACGCTGAATTAACACAGAATAGAATAGAATAGAATATCGTTTATTTCTTAGTATATGGTAATTACAGATGTTGAAATTATAGAATGATTCACATATACTACCGTATCCGGTGTAGAAATATTACAATTAGAATAATATTTAACACTTTATAGTTCTTATTTAGACAAATTTATACATTTATAACATTATATAGGAATTATCAATTGTAGATATATATTATTATTATTATTAATACAATATTGGGAGCATTCATTTATGTATAATTTATAAATTTATAATCTATGAAATCGTTAACAGAATAAAAACACATATCCAAGAGCCAAGAAAATATTGCACGTTTAAATTTATTTATAGGCAACTGTCTAATCTGTGGTGGCAGCTTATTAAAGATTGTTATTGCCATGCAGTGGGCATTACGACTATACAAATAAAGTCTTTGGGATGGTGCCACCAATTGGTTTGGGTTTCTGTCTTGGATCCTCTTGGAAACACGTTCATTTATTGGAAATAGATAGGAATATCTCTTAACGAACAAACATATTTAAAAAATATAGAGACAGGGCAGTGGAAGTATCTTTAATTTTTGAAATAATGGCTTACAATGATCTAAATAATTAGCGCCACACATGGATCTAATACATTTTTTTTCACATTATCTCGACAAAATCGGCAACAACGCTGGGATCGTCCGGCGAGAAGAAAACCCGTCCCCGAGGGTAGGATGCAATAAAAGACCGCATCCTATCCCAATCGGCTGACCTATTGTGCCAAACACAGTAGCTTTCCACAAGTGCTTTGGAGTGACTCTACCGCCGATATGTCTTTATCTCCACGGTTGGAGGATGTATTGACGATGGTACGAGATGTCTCGAACTTTTGACGCTGCACTGCTGGCCGTCTGCGCTCTGGGTCTTTCATCACATCACATATTTTGCAAACGATATGGTTATACCGCCATCTATTTATTTTTATTTTGTTTTAAAAAACGTTACCTCCACACTAGGATTTTCTTCTGCATCGTGGGGGTAGTTTACAAACATAAATTTCACTAGGACAAACATCTAGACCCGGAACAATTACTTGTAGGTCATACAAATACTTGTTCCGTACGGGATTCGAACCCGCGGCCCTTAGCGCTGTAACTCAACGCTAAGCCACTGCGCCACTGAGCCGTCAAATTGTTTTTATTAATCTACTGGAAGCCATGAGATCTTTTCGGTGTTTCAGTGTTTCACTGAGTCTTTTCCACGACACTTGCAGAGTTGAATTCTCTTACGTTACCACCACACGGCTATAAAATTATGGTACTATTGTAAAATATTAATCCAAAGCCGTAAAAGCGGCTTAAAAACTCAGCGGTCTAGGCGGCCACGATACATGTTTCAATTTTTACCCATCTTACTCAGCACGAGGGTATTGTTCGACGAGTCATAATAAAAACAGTCGAGCATATGTATGTTTGTTTTTTTCTTTGGCATCTTCTGTAACATAAACATAGAATACTATAATACATACATAATAGAACAGGGGAGTGGGTGGAGTCCGTGTAGCCACTTACATGTCGCTAACATGTCAATTGTGATGTAGTAATATGTTTGTAGTAGTGATAACTGATAATGCGTCGTAATTTCTTGTATGTGTGCTCCCGGCGACGCCGATCCTCGTACAAAATAAGGTTGACAGCTATTCTATTGTGTATTATAGCATTCTATGAAGATAAACGTCTTGATAACAATAGCGATGTCGCTATTTTCGTGTTAGTTGTAAAAGAGACCAACGACGTTTTCGCTCAGGAACACTGTTGGTAAATCATCATTTGAAATTTGAAATTTAATAACAGGAATTATTAGACTAAAAGATATAGCTCATAAGCACCTTAATTTTCTGCTCCCCGCGAACTCGTCCGCGTGGAAATTTTTACAATTGGATTTCATGGGTTATAATTTTCTTTGCGCGGATCTGACTCTGCTACCTGCCAGTAAAATTCTCGTCAAAATCGGTCCAGTCGTTTTGAATTCATCATCATCAGGTTATTTTGAAGGTTAGTTGGAACAAACAAAAAGAGTGACAGATATATAAAAAAATTAAAAATTGTTTATTTTTTGTTATAAGTACCGAACGGTACTTTCATACCCATTTACTAAAAAGCTGTTATTTTGACATTAGAAACAGACACCTTAATTTTATTTAATTTTATAGACAATTCATACGTAGATATGTATGTTATTCACTGACCTCTATATATACAATACTTGTATATATAGAGGTCAGTGATGTTATTACTCTAAGAGACAATTGAAATTGTGAGCTGCAAACTGATTTAGCACGTGTGATTTAGCGATGGGAAAATCCAGCACGCCTAAGTTGAAGTACCTTTTGTAATGTAAAAAATAACAAATTTTTACTAAGTGCACATGAATATGTAATATACATTATTTAAACAAAGACAATTTTTGTCTGTCTGTTTGTTTCGGCAAATCTCCGCAATGGCTGGACCGCGTCTTACGGGGTTTTTTACTTTAGTTGATGTTATAAGGGGGTAATTTACGCTACTTTTATTTTAGAAAATAAGGTAATTTTATACTATCGCGGTCTTCTCGATTTTTCGATTTTCTAGAGCCAAAAAACCAGAGTACCGCGAACGTATAAAATTACAGAAAATAAGTTAGGGTTTCGCGCAAAAATTTAAAACCCATAAAAACCAATTGTAATAAATCCCACGCGAACAAAGTTGCCGGGAACAACTATTAACAAATATTTCCACAAATATCCCCAGTATAATTGCTATGGTTTAGTGGCGTTGTAAGAATCACCCTGTGTCGTTTTAAGAGAAGACAGAGGGAAACTAATCAGGAAATGGGCAACGGCGTCTTAAAGCTAAAATAACATTCCATATACATCCCACATCTGGGCACAGGCCGTGTCGGCGGGGATCGAACCCCTGAGCTACCACGGCTTAAGGCGTCTATCTAACGAAAATTAGAAAATAAAAACTGCGGCTGTCAGCCTGCCTATCCAGCGTGGCAACTATGGCAAAGATACCCTTCAATAAGCATACTTCGAGACTTTGATACGTTAATATTTAATGAATGTAACATTAAGCGATATTAATACTTATGAACATATAAATTGACCAGCTTTTATAATAAATCAGTTTAAATCCATTTCCAACAACGTCTGTCACAAAAATATTACGCCTTATATTCTGATGTAGGCGTAATCTGAAGGCTTAATTTACTTAGAATCGCATTAATTATGCCTTTGAATAGATTTTCATTTATTAGTTTCTTGCAATGGACTTGACAGCTGTGGTCTAATTCAAATAATTATCATGAATTAGTTAATCTACAGTGATAAATAAAAATACGTGTAGCACTCGGTGACTGCCGCGATAAAGCTATTGCATAGCATTTTTTATCAACTTATGCAATTATAATTATTTATTTATTTTATTTATGCAGTTAAGTCTTTGATATTGAATCAAGTTACACTTTTTGAGCGTGGTGACCGATAAGAAAACAATTTTTTTCTCTTATTGAATAAATGAGAAGTTAATATTGTTTAAAATGTTTTTAATATCTTACAATACATGTAGGTTATTCAGGAATTTTTATCATTGAGTTAGCAGCTAGTGTACACGCATACATCTAGTCGCACGCACACAAACACCGTGCCGAAGTCTGCCGAACTGAAACGACGTTAGACGAATAGACGATGCACGGCTTTCAACGCCACACCTCCGTGCCCGTCGGAGTGGGGAGCGTGAGGTTTTTTTTCGTTACGGAATTTCTGGATTCGGTCCCCGCGCTCAAGGCCCGCGATAGAAGCTATGCAATAGCTTAATACTCAACCTATTTTATTAAATTCGATTCTGATTCGTTTTATAAATTCGATTCTGATTCGTTTTACACTTATTTTATTTCATTAATAAGTAAGTAATACGGACGTCAATGGCTATTAACCAGGTTCGTAACATAACAACAATTTCTCAGAACAGATCTAAATGAATCTTTTATATTAATTAGGCCTTACGTCATGGTACCATATTATGTTAATTTTATGAAACAAATGGTAAAATTAAAAATTCTGTACGACCAACTTCAAGAGAAATAAAATGAGAACATTAATGTAGTCGAACTCAATTAAGTGCGAATTATTTAGGATGTAATGTAGGAAAGGTGTCAATAGAAAGGAGACATGTTACTTGTTCTAGATCTTTAACTACGAGTATACTTCTGTTTTATTACGATCTTAACCTATGTCGTGCAGGCTACAACACTACATCACACTTCCCACCGACAAAATAATAAAATACATAATATACTATTCCTATTCTCATTAAACAATTAACAATTTCTATGTAATAAACAAGTTACAAGTAAATCGGGTTAAATAGGTCTCTTCCAGTTTATATATCAGAAGATTCCAGGTTCGAATCCTGGCAGGGACGCCATGTAATATAGGAAAGGTGTCAATGAAACGAGTTGTTTTAGATATTTAATTATACTTCTGTTTATTAAAAACTTTAATATATAACTATGTCGTGTGGACAACGCTACATAACTCACTAACTCAAAAACTACTGGTCGGATCGTGATCAAATTTATATGAGATCATATGAGAATCACTAGCTTTCAAATAACAGACACAGAAACGGAAACTTTTTTATAGGGGGAGGGGGCAAACGAGCATACGGCTCACCTGATGGTAAGTTATCACCGTCACCCATGAACAACTGCAACACCAGAGGAACTGCTGATGCGTTGCCGGCCTTTTAAAAAGGCATAGCCTCTTTTCTCGAAGGTCCCGGTCCCTAAGTCGTATCGGTCCGGATAAATCTCTGGTGGTAGTCGATTCCACAAGGAAGTTGTGCGAGGAAGAAAACTTTTAAATCGCACAGTGGTTGACCGTCAGTCATCCGGATGGTACGGATGGTATCGCGAGTTTTGTCGCGATGTGTGATGGTGAAATTGTGCGGCTGGAATTAGTCCGAGCACTCCCCGTGGTAGATGCGATAAAATACAACATCTCTGCGTAGTGCCAGTGACTCAAGCCGATCGGAAAGAGCTCGGTCGCCGACGATTCGAACAGCTCTGTGCTGGAAGCGATCGAATGGAAGGAGCTGGCACTGGGGAGCCCCAGCCCAGAGATGGGAACAGTATTCCATGTGCGGCCGAACCTGCCTGCGCTTTGTAAAGTTGCAGACGGTGAGCCGCCATGAAATACTGTACCGCTCTGCTAAGCACGCCAAGTTTTTTAGAGGCCAATTTAGCTACCTCTTCCAATTGACCACAAAACTGCACGTCACTCAATATGTCGACGCCGAGGATTCCGATACTGGCTGAGGCAACAAGTAAGTCTCGGACTGGACAGAGGAGTGCTCTGCGCACCGAGCGTTGGGTACACAGCACATCCTGCATGGAGCACTCACACCGCGGGATGGTTGGTGGTGTGTTCCCCCCGTCATAAATAGTCGAGTTGGATGCAAAGAGAGAGACCAGTAGATCGGCTCTATCCTTTGCGGCAAGGGCCAGTGAGTCATCCTCCCAGTGCAGAGATGGGAGAGATGGCTGTCAGAAGTTCCCTTGGACAGCCTTGGCGAGAGACCAGAATGAGCGTGTTCCCGAAGAAAGACGAATTAGTTTCTCGCCAATTCTGCAAATTTGCTCTGACTTTGGCTTGACGAGATGTCGATGCGTGAGCCCAGGCCTAGAAGTTCCCTTGGACAGCCTTGGCAAGAGACCAGAATGCACGTGTTCCCGAAGGAAGACGAATTAGTTTCTCGCCAATTCTGCAAATGTACGCTGACTTTGCCTTGACGAGAAGTCGATGCGTGAGTCCAGGCCCAGAAGTTCCCTTGGAGAGCCTTGGTGAGAGACCAGAATGCGCGTGTTCCCGAAGGAAGGCGAATTAGTTTCTTGCCAATTCTGCAAATGTGCTCTGAGTTAGCCTTGACGAGAAGTCGATGCGGGAGCCCAGGCCTGGTAGCACTCTTGCTTATGACGTAGTGCAATTTTGCAGGAGCGATCAAACCAAGGCTGGGTTCTGCCTCCGATAGGTACCACAGATGATAGAATAAGAAATTTATTGAATATTGACTGTGCAAATTTACTATGTACATTTTTTAATTGAAACTAAATACATGAAAGCGATCTAGTTCAACAACTGATTTTGGTCTGCGACCCGGGATTCGAACCCGGGCCCTCACACGTCACACTACTAAACTAAGGAAGCAGTCAAGGTAGAGAATAGTAAAACAGCATATGGCACAAGCATTTTCCTGATAACAACCAAACTGACAAAATTATATAAAATTACGTTTGCAAAATACAATTCCCCTCTTTGAGGTAAACTATGAGAGACTTTTAATCGCCTGTATATGAACGAATGAAAAAAGCTATTTATTATAAATTAGAATCATTATTAAAACTTTTTTTGTTTACTATTAAGATTATATTTTTTCCAGGAAATATACACAGATCGTCGCCTGCCAGTGATGGTGTTCATTCACGGAGGAGGCTGGATGTGTGGTGATTCCACCACGTACATGTACGGACCGCAGTTTCTCCTCGACAGAGATGTTATCCTGGTCGCGATAAACTACAGGCTTGGTAAGCTAATTTCAACTTTAGTAAATATATGATTTTGCAATTGCCATTTGATAAGAAACTAGTCAAAGTATGTGGCCTATGGTTTATAATGTTCTCAAAACCAAATTTCAGTTACGGTGACAAGTCTCAACGAAGATTAGCCATCAGAGCAGTCAGCCATCTCAATATATTAATATAATACACAAAATTTTTGCTCCCGCTGGATATCATATTCGGAATGGCAGTGTCAAGGACATAGTTGTCCTATACAGAAAAGCCGTAAATCGAGCTCCAAAAACGAATTAATACTTGGTTATTAAACGATGCGGTGTACGAGTATATATGTCTTTATTAATTCATCTTCGTCACGTATTCTGTATATAAAGAAAATGTATATAATCTAAAACTAAAAACTTAAAAGAATATGTATACAATGTTGTATTGTCATTAGTACAAAAAGCACACAGATAATGTATTACTACATAAAGCCGTGGTAACCAGGGCTCTGCCAATACCTTTGGGACAGAGAAGTGGACACTTCCTTGTCCTAAAACCCTCTAAAATATGCGAAAGGGCTGGATACAGACAAGGAGTTGGACATATAAGCTGTAATTTTACTTTAATTAGCAATTAAGGTGTGTGCGAAACTTCAGCTCTGTCGGTTTGGTGGACCTTGTTTAAAATTTAGTTACAAGATTTGATCTTAAAATTAACTTCACTTCTAAACATAAGAGACTGTATAAAAATCAGATTAGATTTAAAATGATCCTTAGTCTAGATCCTATATAAGTTACAATTAAAAATGCCTACCTACGTTTCACCTGACTTCACCGTGGACTTATAGTTTATATTTTTCAAATTCATACAGGCCCTCTTGGTTTCTTGTCGACCCAAGACGAGCATTGTCCAGGCAACAACGGTTTGAAGGATCAACAGGAAGCGCTCCGATTCATCCAGAAGAACATCCACAGCTTCGGTGGTGACAACAGCTCCGTCACCATATTCGGAGAAAGTGCCGGTGGTGCTAGTGCACACTACCACATGCTGTCAAAGACCAGTGAGGGTAAGTTTGTTGAGTTTGAAATTTATACGAGATAGCCGGGCTGCAATAAGGTATTAGTGTCGCGCTGTGCCGAACATCAGATCGGATTAGTTATATCTTTGAAAAAATTTACAAAATTTGGGTTATTATTCTGTTTATCCTAGGGTGGATACAAGGAAACGCGTGTTCGTTTGTCCACCCTAGACGGGGTGGAAAATCAGAATTCACTAACAAGCGGAACAACAATCAAAAGGTCTTTTTGATTGTTGTTCCACCTTTCCACCCCAAGTATAGTTCAACAGAAAATATATTCGTATTTTAACTTATTTTTGATTAATTTTTAATAACCACACGATTAAACTTCCTGATTTTAAATAATATTTAATTATAATATGTGTAATAAGTAATATGCAATATGTCCAAGACATGACCAACACTAAATTAGTTATTAAGTACACTTAATTGTATATTCTAAAATTTGTTAAGTACCGTAATATTTCCAATACTGTGTTTATATAATTAAGAATATATTTATTTAATTATTGCAGTTGTAGAAATTAATTGCAGTAAAACATTTCTTTCATCATATCCCTAAAATAACGGAAATTATATCACATCGAATGATATGTAATACAACCACTGAGCTCTAGATATGTAATAAAACCACTGACCTCTATACAACACGTAACATAATTAACTCACTTTGAGAAAGTAGTTTGTTCAGAATCGTTTACTGAATCGATTCCATTCATTTATAATATAGGTAATTTTTTATCCCAAAAATAATTAAAACTACGTAAATTACAGTCACACTAAACATTAAATCTGTACAGTCCACACAAACTGAAATGGACCGTAACTTAAGGCAATAAGACTTTCAAGAGTGCAGTTGTATTTGTATTATTACTAATTCTGTCATTCAATAAAAATAAAGAAAAATTAAGTTAATGACAAGCACGTTAAAGTATTTGCGTTCGTGGATTTGTACTGTGACCACAACATTCTTCCGGAATTAGTATAACTAATTTGATAAATAACCAGTGCATAAAAATGTTTAACTAAAAATTCAGTGTATGTATTATGATTATAACATAATATACGAGGGTGGATTGAAAAGTACTCGGCCTAACCAAGAAAATAAACACATACTAAATCAGTTATATTTTTTATTTTTCTACATAATCACCATCAAGTTCAATACACTTTTGCCACCTCCCCTTCCAAGCATTTAGACCGTTGAAAAAAAAATGATTCTTCCTTAGAGTCAAAATATGCGTCTACAGCTGCTTTGACCTCGTCGTTTGTCGAAAATCTTTGACCTCCAAGTGCTTTTTTAGGTTAGGGAATAGAAAGAAGTCTGATGGTGCCAGATCAGGTGAATACGGCGGATGTGGTAACAGTTCAAAGCCACAGTTGTGAATTTCAGCCATTGACTGTACTGACATGTGAACACGGGCGTTATCTTGATGAAACAGGACTTTTCTTCTGAGCATTCCTCGACGTTTTTCTTTTATTTCCTCTCGTAAACGACGTAGTAAGGTGCAGTAGTAATCAGAGTTTATAGTCTGACCCCTTTCAAGATAATCAATCATAATCACACCTTTCGAGTCCCAGTATACTGAAGCCATCACCTTATTTGCCGACAAAATCGACTTAGCCTCTTTAGGGGGTGGTGAACCAGGTCTTCTCCACTGTTTTGATTGTTGTTTTGTTTCCGGTGTACAGTAATGAACTCATGTTTCGTCCATAGTAACAAAACGATTCAAAAAATCATCTGCATCGGCTTCAAATAACTCCAAACAGTCGCGTGAAATAGTCAATCGCGTCCTTTTTTGTTCAACTGAAAGCAGTCGCGGAACCCACCCCGCAGACACCTTGTGGAAACCCAACTCGTTGACAATGATGTTTTGAGTTCGTTCATAAGAGATGCCTATAATCTCGGCTATCTCTGTAATTTTTAATCTGCGGTCTCCCATTATTAAATCAAGTACTTTTTTAATATTTTCGTCAGTAGTTGACGTCGAAGGCCTTCCAGAGCGGGGTTCATCTTTCACACTCTCTCTACCACGCTTAAATTCTGCTATCCATTTTTTGACGGATGAATATGACAGAGCACAATCGCCTAATGTACTGACCATGTCATCATGGATGGCTTTTGATGATAGCCCCTTCTTATGGAGGTACTTAATGATGGCACGCTGCTCGATTTGCTCCATTCGCGGAAATTATGTCCGATTACTTTGTTAATAAATTTATAAAATCACAACTAATTATCGCACACGTTTCGAACTTCACACAATGAACTAGTCTGAACTGAACTAAATAATTTGGGTAGATTTGATTTTTAGAATTGAATGGATCTGTGTTAGGCAGAGTACTTTTCAATCCACCCTCGTACTAATTGGGGTGTCTGAGGGTGTGCGTTAATTACGTTACATATTGTATATACAGCGTACTTGTATATAGAGGTCAGTGATAGGACATTTACAAGTATTTCAGTTTTGACTTTTAAACAAGAAGTATTTTTTTTATAGGATAGGGTGACAAACGAGCACACAGTCCACCTGATGGTAAGTGGTTGCTGCGGCCCATAGACATCTACATCTATCTTCGATTACAAATCAAAATGCAGATGTGTTGTCAGACGTGAGGACTGAGATGGAATGCCTCATTTCCAGTAAAAAGGGTATCCGGTTCTCTACACTCACCATACGAAATACAGCAGCATTAAGCTACTATTTCACGCTGGTATTCTGTGAGAGCGTGGTCCTTCCCCGGTCGAGCCGACCCATTCGTGCTACAACTATACTACTAATATAATTGCAGCATGGCTCTACCACGTATTTATGTATTTTTATAAGTATGCTAATGTATACTAAGTAATCTTGGGCCAGTCTCTATCCTGATATTATAAACGACTGTACACAGTCAAGGAGAAAAATCGGAAGAAAAATAATATAATAATTCCGATTATCCACCCTAGATTTGCATACCAGGTACTATAAGTCCATTTACCTACGCATATTTGCACAAAAGCCAACTTTTTTGAGATTAGACTTCAGTCTGCAATATGAGTTTACTTTATAGTAGCGACGTTGGAGAATCGGACACACTACATCGTGGATTCTTGTTTTTTTTTTCGCTGAATGGCTATAGGCTTCGCTTTTGACCTGCCCTGTTATCACAAATAGCTACGACGAGTCGCGCATTCAGTTCCTTTAGGAACAACACCGCACGTGAAAATGGCACAAATATGTAGTCATCTCTCAGAGACTTAGTTCAGCTGCCTCTGATGCCGCCCCCGTCTAAAGAAGGTACCACTGAGATGAGAGGCTTTCAATGTGTCTACGAAGGTAGCATCCCACACTAGAGTTTTACCTATCTCGCAAAGAAATTGATCGATCACACTACATCGTGAATGTCGAAAGCGATGATAATGGGATTTGTTAAGAAGGATGTGATAGGATCTGAACGTGACAATTACGCAACCGTCATGTGAATTCAGACGTAGATACCATTACCATCCATTACAGCCATAGATTCCCGCATAGTGGGGATTTTGCCATAGTTGCCACAGCAGTATTTTATTATTCCGTGTTGTTATCGGGATGGTGCTTCCGTCCATTACCTGTTTAAATTTCCCTCTATCGCCTTTTATGACACCCACAATGATGATATGGGGTTGTGGGTATTCTTATACCACCACTATACACTAGTACAACCCAATACAGAGTACCCAGATCAAAACCACTATGGGAAATCCCAGAAATATTCATAATTTTTATTAGTTTTTATTAAGAGATGACTAGGGACAGAACAATGTCATATACATCTCTTGAGATTACTTTGTTAGTTATAGTAAGCAGCATGACTATCTCGTATACAGGATTGTTTTGCAATAACCCGCCAAATTTGCAAAGAAAGTTCAGAATAAGTAATATAGACAAATGTTATGCTTGGGCCGCGTATCGGCACTTCTCTTAATTCCATTCGATTAAAATCTACTTCAATGAAAATCACATTTAATAGACATTCGCAATTAGAATGTCATATTTGATCTTACGCTATCTTTGCTTATGTAAATGAATGTAGCGCAAGGTAATTTGATAAATTGCGTTAATTTATTCGAATCGCAACGTGGTATGTCACTTACAGTTAGCTGGGCCCTATTATTTACATATTATATCAGCTGTTCCTACATACGTTGTAATACTGTGATTTCTCTTTTTGACGTGACAACGTCTAATAAATCGATGAACGCAGGTTGCACGCACGATAATGGTATATTATGCAATCATTTCATCAATGTTTTATTATGACGTTGTCACGTTAAACTATCATCCGTAAACCGAGTTTACACACAACCAATTTTTTTAAGAAACTTTGGCGGTCGCGCACACAATAATAAGTTTAATCTTAGTGAACTGAATGAAAAAAGTTAGAAACACAGAAAGAAGTCTAGCATACAAACAAAGAAACAAAAAATATTAGTTTTTTTTTTTGCGCCCGAAGCAATTAAAGGGCTACCCTATACGTAGGGAGGCGGAAAATGCATTACGCATACCACGATAGCCGGTCTATCGTGGTTATGAGGGGCTCACTGTCCTACCGGGGACCCTAAGTGATACCCTCTAAAAACCGCTTTTGGGGACAGGCAGCCGGCTGATTAAGCTGTATTGTGCCTTATCATGAGCGACCCTCTTTTGGGAAAAGAGGGCGCAGGCGGCTAAGTGCCGCTGAGGGAGTGCCTACGAAGGCAAATTAATGTTAGTTATTACAATAATTTAATTTAATTAGAGTTGGCCTGAGCCGCCAGGAGACAGTTCAGGTCGTTTGACAGTTTATTAGGCCGGTCCGAGAGAGAGTTTCTCGGCCTGCGGACACGATAGCGAGAGGGGGGGTGGGGCTGCATAAGAAGCTGCCTCACGAATTAAATGGTTTGGGTGCGACTCTGAGGCTTTGAAGAAGTTCTCAGAGAGTTTTTTAAGAAATTGTTGAATTGTTGGGAGCTCTAAGTCCCG